TCACAGCCTTTGACCGGCATTCCTGAGTTGATCCACAGCAGCCTGACCTGGAGGGGGTGATGAGTACAATAAGGGGTGTGGTTGCTGCAGGGGTCCAGACGCTGACGTGGCCATGACTGGAGAGGCGTAGAGGGCTTCCTGGAGGAAGGGACATCTGAGTGGCATCTTGAGGAAGAGTAGGAGTCCATCATACACGGAGACGGTGAAGAGTCTCTGGTTGGTGGCATGGCTTGAACAGAGGCCTGGGGGTTTACTAGGGAACTGAGTGTGAAGAGGCGGTGGGGAGAGGAGGCTGCAGGCAGACACAGGAGGAGTTTACCTGAAGGCCCAGGGGGCTCAGCAAGGCTTTGATTCAGGGGAGGGATGCGCTGAAATTTGTGTTTTTAAAAAAATCTTTATTGACTAGAGTATTTACAGATGGCCCCTTTATCCCCCAATTGCCCCCCTCCACCCAGTTTCCACCCCCCCCCCCACACCTTCACCACCCTATTGTCTGTGTCCATGACTTATGCACATTTATATATATAAAAGCCCTGTGACTGGAATGGTGGAATGACCAGAATGACCAGTGGCTATGATGCGCACTGCAGCAGCCAACCAGCCCGATCTGGACCCCTATCGGCCCCCAACACTCTGATTGGGGGCCAGGCCAGCTGGCCAACCACCTGTGGCCCCTCTTCCCCACCAGCCCAGCCTGATGGGCCCCCATCCCCACCCATGACCCCACCCATGCATGAATTTGTGCACCTCTAGTATGTATATAAGATCTTCGCTCCCTCCTTCCTTCTGAGATTGGTCAGTCTATTTTGTGTTTCCATGCTTTTGGTTCTATTTTATTCATCAGTTTATTTTGTTCATTAGATCCCTCGTTCATTTATTTTTATTTTTAGATTCAATTGCTGATAAGTATGTATTTATTGCCATTTTATTGTTCGTGTTTTTTACCTTTTTTTCTCCTCCTTCTTCACCTTCACCTTTCCCTTCCCCTCCCCCTTCCTATTCCTTTTTTTCTTCCTCTTCATAAAGAATACTCTTTAACATTTCATGTAATACTGGTTTGGTTGTGATGAACTCCTTTAGCTTTTTCTTATCTGTGAAGCTCTTTATCTGATCTTCAATTCTAAATGATAGCTTTGCTGGGTAATCTTGGTTGTGGGTCCTTGCTATTCATCACTTGAATATTTCTTGCCACTCCCTTCTGCCTGCATAGTTTCTGTTGAGTAATCAGCTGACAGTTGTATGGGCACTCCCTTGTAGATAGCTGCTTTACTCTTGCTGCTTTTAAGATTCTCTGTTTGTCTTTAATCCTTGGAATTTTAATTATGTGTCTTGGTGTGGGCATTTCTGGGTTCATCTTGTTTGGGATTCTCTGCATTTCCTGGACTTGTAAGTCTATTTCTTTGACTAGGTAGGGGAAGTTTCCTGTCACTCTTTCTTCAGATAGGTTTTCAGTGCCTTGCTCTCTCTCTTCCTGACACTCCATGATGAGAATATTGGTACACTTGAAGTTGTCCTACAGGCTTCTTACACTAACTTCATATGTTTTCTTCTTTTTGCTCTTCTGATTGGGTATTTTTTTTCTTCCTCATATTTCAGATTGTTGAGTTGATTCTCAGACTCCTTTATTCTACTGTTGAATTGCTGTAAATTATTTTTTATTTTAGTTAGTGTATGCTTAAATTATTACTGGTCCTTTGTCATGTCTTTGAAATTCTCACTAAGATCCGTCAAAGTCTTATAAGTATCTTGAAGCTCTCATTAAGATCCTTGAGCAGCCTGATAATCACTGTTTTGAACTTTGTATCCAGTAGTTCGCTTGCTTCCATTTTATTAGGTTCTTTTTCTGGAAGTTTCTTCTATTCTTTCATTTATGACATGTTTTTTGGCTCTACATTTTGGCTGCTTCCCTGTGTTTCTTGCTATGTATTGGGTAGAGCTGCTATGTCTCCTGGAGTTGGTAGTGTGGCCTTGTGTAATAGGTGTCCTGCAGAGCTCAGTGGCTCAGCCTCCCCAGTCACCTGCACTGGGCACTCTCGGAGTGCCCCTATGTGGGCTGTGTGCACAATCTTGTTGTAGCTGAGCCTTGATTGCTGTTGGCATGAGTGGGGGGAATTGACCTCCAGGCCAATTGGCTGTGAGGACCAGCTGAGACTGAAAGAGCTGCTGTGCAGGAGACACCCTATGGTTAGGACTTGCTTCAGTGGGTCTTCGGTGCTCTCTGAGTCTGCCCCTTCAGTGTGTCGCTTGTGAATGTGTAAAGTTGTAATCTGGTATAGTCAGAAGCTGTCCACTGGGTGCACTGGCTCTGGGGCCTCCGGGGAGATACAAAGTCAGCCACTGTGGGGGACCACCTGACAGGAGCTACAGAGTGGGCTTGGAAGTGTTCAGGCAAGGCCCCCCGCTCTGAAGCAAGGCAGGCGGTGCTGGTGCCAGGTTTTGGGCCTCTTATGGATAGGCACACTGACACCAGCTGTTGCTTGTTTGAGAGATTTTAGGAAAGTCTCGAGATTTGGTTTTGAGAAAAGGTCCTGGCTGTCAGATGGACAGTGACCTGTGGTGGGAGCAAGGCTGTGTGTAAGTTGCTCAGGACCAACCCAGAATGGAAGGAAGTTTGGTACAGAGCAGCCAGCTGGGAGAGGCGGTGCTGGTTAGGTCTTTGGTGAGGAAGCGATGGCCATTGCAGCTGATCAGATGTGTGGGAGACTGGGAAGGAGGAAAATGACTCAAAGGTACAGCTCAGGTGACTGGGGCCAGGCAAGGGAGCAGAGAGGGTGGAGCAGGCCCAGGCCGTTCATTCAGCCAGAATCTGAAAGAACAGATTTTACAAGGAGTCTTGAAGGGTCAGGTAAGTGATCCTAGAATCTTGAGACCGAAGGGAACGCCATCACTTACCAGAATCCTCAGAAGATGTCTCTGTCCCCATCTGCCCTGGGTGTCTGGACGGGGAGTTTGAAGGTGTCGAAAGCGGCCAGGCTGGTGTGTGGATGTGCTGTTCACTCGGCCGGCCACAGCCCTGGAAGCCTTCTTGCATGCGCCACACCATGCCCTCGTGCCCTCCAACTGTTACTTAGAGAGACACCGAGTAGGGTACAGATTTGAGATTCTGGGTCCTACAGGTGATTTAGCCTTGAGGCCCCAGGGGTGGATGTGACCACTGCCTTCCATTCTGCCACACTGTGGTCCACAAGCCCTCTATCAGGGTGGTCCCTTCCACGGGCTGTGGACCCACCCGCCTCCCTCCTGGGACAGCCACCACGGCCTCCTGAACTCCTTCCAGTTGTCTCCCATTTTCTTTGTTTCTGTTGTGGCAAAGCTTCCTGAGAGATGGCTTCTGTTTCCACACTCATCCCAGCCTCTTCCTGACCCCACCAGGCCCTGGTCACCCTGTGCGGCTGAACCTGCAGTGCTGGACCTCATCTTCTTAGTCTCTCATTTCCTGTGGCCGAGCTGATCGTTCCTTCCTCTTCCTGAAGACATTTCTCCTGATGCTTGGGCTTTTTCCTCCTTCCCTTCCCTCACTGACCATTCCTCTCACTCTCCTTGGCTGGTTTCTGATTGGGAAGCATTGGCCTGCCCTGGGCCCACCATATTCCCATCTCTAGCTCCCACCTCCCCCCTGAGCAGTTTCTGTGGATCTCAGTAGGCATCTCAGAGGTTCATGGCCCAGACGCGCCCCTGACCTCTGCCCCGGACCTGTTTCCCTCCCGGTGCTCCATCTCAGCAAATGGCACCGCTGCTCATTCATCCAGCTGCTCTGTCAAAGCTGGAGCCATCTTTGACATCCCACTTCTTTTTGAAAGACGGCTTTCACATTTCCATTCTGGAGTCTGATACACACACGGAGCCAGCCGCATGTGCGAGTGATGAGGCGTATTAGTGAGGCACTTGCTGTGACCCACCGCCAGCAGAGAGCGTTCTGTGCCTGCACCCCTGGGTGCTCCTCCCTAGCCACGACCGACCCCTCTCTCCATCATGGCCGCACCCAAACCCTCCCAGGCACTGCTGGCTCTGCCTACAGAGCACACCCGCGGCCCGCCTCCTCCCTCCAACCCAGGCCCCCTCGGAGCTCCCAGGTCCCTGCAGTAGTGCCCCTTCCACCCAGACTTGCTCTCTACACAACAGCAGAATGACCCCTTTCACGATGAGTCACTTCCTGTCCCCCCTCCAGGGCCTGCGCCCACCTCCCTGCTGCTGCTCGCTCAGGCCAGTCCCTCCCACCAGACCCTTGGTTCTCGCCTCTGCCCTCTGGCTGTCCTGGGCTCCTTCTGACCGCACAGCGGCAAGCCCCTCGCACCCTGCCCCCTCCTGCCACTCTGCTTTCTCTTCCCAGGCCCCTTCTCTAACCGGAGCTGAATACACACGGACTTCCCCTTACTTACTGTTGTCTCTGAAGTAGAACATAAACTCCATGGACTGTGTCTTCAGCTCCTGGCACGATGCCGGCTGCATGATAGGGGCTTAAAAATCTATTGACTGAACGTGTGTGAGTGAATAAGTGATGGCAAACGTGAGGAATGAGTAAGTGACGGACATGCACATGAGTCAATGGAGGGTGGATCCTGGTGAGCAGGAAAGGGGCAGGAAACGAGGGCCTTTTTTCCTGGACCCCCTCGTTGCCGTTGCTCGATTTATTTTCTTTCCTGTGATTCTGAGTTGGAGGAGCCTGTGATGCTGACTCTGTACCTCCCTGTGGTTCTCCTTGCTGCTCCCCACGCAGCGGCAGGAACCGACTTGTTGCTCAGGTTTTAAAATCTGGGGTAAGAATAACGAAAGCGTGCACCTGTTGTCCGCGAGGTCGTTCAAAGACCAGATGAGTCTCAGAACTAATAATCCTCACAATTAATTAAAGCCTCCCTCCCAATTATGGGAGAATTGAGTTGGTGGCTGTGGCGTGCGTGGCGGCGGGAATCTGGGTCGGCGTTCCCGGCTGGGTCTGGGGCAGCATTGGTGAGCGTCTTTGTCTTCCTTTAGGGCTGCCACCGGGACCATGAGCAGCTAAGATGGACACGTCCGCCGCAGCCTCCGCCGCGGAGAAGAAAGAAGGCAGAAGTGCGATCCCGGAGGGGGCGGCCAGGAAGACCTCAGCGCGGGCAGTGGCCGCGGCTGCGGCGGCGGCGGCAGCTGCCCAAGGAGGTACTGTCTGTTTTGCACACTCGGCGGGCAGCGGGGGTCTCTTTCATTGGCCCGTTAGGGTTTAATTGGACGGTGGCCCAGGCCACCGGGCAGCACGCTGGGCTTATGGAGGGTGACGCGGAGGGATCCCGGGCCTGTGACCGTGGCCGCAGGCTCTCCCAGAGGTCTGGGTGCCCGGTCTGCGGCAGGGGGACCGGGCGGCAGCGGGAGAGCCTGCGGACTGGGAGGGGAGGGCAGGGCACGGAGGCGGGGGCTGCTGGGCGGCCCCGGGGTGTGTTCGCTGGCGCATTTGAGATGTGCCAGACACGGCGGCCGCCGCTGGCCCGCAGGGACTGTTTTAGAAGTAATTGTCTCTTGATCCCTTCTGGCTGTAATTAGAGGGTCAGGTACAGAATTTAGTATCCTTAGGTGAATTTCGGGCCAACTTAATTATAGCAAAAGGACTGCGAGCCACAGCCTCTCATTTTGCCGCCCGGAGAGAGCTCTGCTTTCCACTGGCCGTGCCAGCGCCCCGGTGGGAAAGTTTGGCGGGAAGGCGAGACCTCCCCTGTGTCTGCGCCGTCCATCTGGAGGCCACAAGACTATTTCTGTCTCCGAGGAATGGAGAGGCTTAGATTTCTTTTCTTCCCCTTTTATTCAAGTGCGCTTAGTCACGCCCTGTTGCTCTCGCTGCTCAAGCACAGCTCGCAGCAGCGGGAAATTCGCCTCGGCCAGCGGGCGGTGGGGTGTGGGCGTCGCCCCTCACTTTGATGTGAGCACAGATGGGTCCCCGTCGGAGTGCAGGCCCCGGCCAGTACGTTGGGCAGCACGAGGGTCTGCGTTCCTCGCCAGCGCTGGGATGGCGTGAACAGGGCGAGGGTCTGAGCTTCTAACCACCTGAGATAGTGTGGGGGCTGCTGGTTCCGGGTCGTGTTGGCGCAGCTCGGAGTTGGAACCTGGGGAATCTACTGGGACCGGTTGAGCCAGTGTCCAGGGAGGACTCTCATGCGCGTGGTGTCCAGGAGGCAGATGTGAGGGGAGGGACGGCAGGTCAGCGCCAAGAGCCTGGCGGTGGGTTGGTGCTGGCCTCCTGTCCCGGCCTGGCTGTGTCTGCACCTGGCCTGCTCCCTCCTCTGGGATGTCCTCCTGTGGTGACTCCAGCTGTCCCTCTGCCTGATGCACGGCTCAGGCGCCTGAAGCTGAGGGAGCTCCAGCAAGCGGGCTCCGTGTCTGCTGGGCCCCAGCTGCTTCTCCCTTGCCAGGGCTGAGTGGCTTGTGAACTGCCCCACGCCATTCACCGCGTGTCATAGTGCAGGGGACAGCCTCAGGCTGTAGCTGGACAGTAGCTGGGGAAGCCCCTCTGGCATCAGACCTGCTGTCACCAGTGGTGCAGTAACAACAGGAGCTTGAGGGTTCTGACCTGAGGCGGGCAGGCAGCTGCCGATAGCTTGGAGCAGCAGCTCTTCCAGGCTCCTACCTGTTCCACCCCACCTACCCTTACCCCGGGGGCCGACATTGCCACCCCCAGGGGCCCCTGTCCCCTTATTGCCCAGGGGAGCCCTCCCTCGGATGAGTTTCCAGCAGCGGGTGGATGTAACCCGTCAGCCCAGTTGCCCCGGGCAGGTGGCTTGTGTCATTGGAGCCAGCCCACCACTGGGCTCCCTCTGCCCCTCTCCGAGCAGCCGGCCCGGGAAGGGCCCTCCCGGAGGCAGGGAGGAGCGGCTGTTCCTGCATGGAGCCAGCAGGGCATCTGGGAGCAGGTCCTGGTGCCGGGGGACCGCGATGCCCACCTTCTGCGGATGGCGTGAGGAGGGGACGGCGTGAGGAGCGCCTGGCGGCGCGGCCCAGGGGCCTGGCTGCGGTTCTAGGTCAGCACCATCCCCAGGTCCCAGTGTGGCCGGCCGTTCCCTTCCCTGGGCCTCCTTCTCCTGTTCAGGGCACGGACCGATGTCTTTGTGGGCTCGTGACCTTGGAGCTTTATCACGTCCTCCCAGGGGTGGCCGAGGTGCTGTGAGTGACTCATGGCATCCAGAGCCTCACTCGGGCCCCTTGATAGCCAGCTGATCGCAGCGCAGAGGGCATGAGGAGGAGCGGGACGGTCTGCGGGAGCAGAGGGGGCGGAAGGGAGGCGGTGCCCTCAGTGGCAGAGCTTGGAAACCCCTTATGAGCTCCTGGGTGTGAGGCTGGAGCCAGGCTCCTTACCAGCAGTTGGCGCCTCCCTGTTCCCAGGAGCGGCTGACGTGAGGTGGGAGGGACTTGCTCAGGGCCACCGGCTGCTCCAGCGGAGAGTGGGTCTGGGGCTCAGGGCACAGGGTGGGAGTCTCCTTCCGGTATGAGCTTTCAGCCTGTGTGAGGTAGGGCCAGCCTCCCCGGGTGTCAAGCATGAAACACACATGCAGCTGCCCTGTAGTTACAGCCGACACATAATGTGCTTCCGCCTGCCTGGCATGGGCACCTTGTGGGTAGTAGCTGCCCCTGCCGTGCAGCGCAGGAAAGTGGTAGGAAGCAACCCAGACTCCGCAGCCAGGTCAGGTCGCCTGACCCTGGGCAGTTTGTGCCTCAGTTTTTTCATCTATAGAATGGACGTAATAATAGCACCTCCTTTATAGTGGTGTCAGAATTACTCGCGTGGCACTTGTAGAGTGCTGGGCACATCAGCTCTGTATGGGGTCCAACATACCTATTAGCTTTCTCCAGTTTTTTGCCTCTAGCCTTGGGCTGTGCCTTAGAAAGTCCACCCTTCACGGCCCCCTTGCTAGCTGACCCAGTGAGGCCAGACAGGCGGTGGGAGGCTCTGGTTTCTGGTGTCCCCCACTCGGGCGTGGTGGAGGGAGTACTGGGCGGGAGATCGAACCTGGCCCCAGTCCTTGGCGCCAGGCCCAGGCTGCGCCGGACAAGTGCGCTTGGCGGCCGGGGCTCCTGCACTCACCCTTCCCCCAACCCGGAGGGCGTCCAGCCCAGCGGTCTGGAGCTGGCCTCGGGGGAAGTCTCGGGAGACGGCTGTAACCAACGCAGATTCCCGGCCACCCAGGCCCGAGGAAGCAGGACCTTCGGGCCGGGCCTGGCCATGTGCATGTTTGACGGGCTTCCCACTTCCCAGGTGCAGCTGGACGGGGTCCCGGGAAGTGGCGTGGCCCTCACGTTCACACGCTGAGCGCAGCGTGACTCGGCAGAGAGCTCCCTCGCCGCAGGAGGCCTCTGTGCCACCGGCACCACCACTGTTTGGCCACTGGCTCTGCGGCTTCTTGGCATGTTTCTTTGAGGTGCATCTTAGCTCTGTAGTGAGGCATCACATCTGTCTCGGAATGCTTCTCAAATTCAAACACCGGGATGCGTAAATAAGCCAGCCATGAGCATTCCAGCTGAGATGCCCGGGGCCAGAGGTCCCCCGGGGCATGTGGGCCTCACGGTGTCCCGCGCTGATCAGTGCCCGAGTCCCTGGTGTCTTTGCCCTCTGTTTCTGTGCCACACCCCGCCCCACCGTGTGGGCAGAGCATCGTTTGTTCACCACTATGCCCTGCCCGGCAATGATTGTTGAACGAGGGGGTGAATCTGACCCTGTCATGCCAGGTGTGTGCCCGGTGGGCTGGTGCAGCCAGCTGCCTCTGCTGGCCCTGCGATCTCCTGGCACAAGGGTCATTCTGGGCTGGCGTGCTCCTTGGCACCTTCGCCCCTGACGAGGCCCCGGGGACTTAGCAAGTGGGCCCGCCTCCCTGGCTCACCTGAGCTGCTTGGTCGGGGCCACGCGCTCTTGCCTTGGGCTGGAGGTGCACTCAGATGTGACTAAGTGGTCAATTATTCTTGTTTAAGTGATTTTCAGGATTGCCGCGCTGCTGCTTCTGAGCTTGTTTTAACAGCCCAGCCACACAGAACAGCCAGTGCCTGACAGACTTTTTCTGGAGAGTGGAGCTCAGTTCCCCAACAACCTGGCACACCCAGGAAGCAGGCACAGCATGGTGGCCGGGCGTCTGCTCAGCGGGTCTGAGTGACTCCTGAAGGCACGCTGGCATGGCCTCGGGTGCTGAGGGCGGGAGCGCCTGGGCGTGGTGAGGGTGGCGCTCCTCTCGGGCCATGGCAGAGGGCAGCGGGGGACTGGCTCTTCCCGGCTCCCCGCGTGTTAGCTGCGGGTCCTGGGGCAGGGCCGCTCACACCTCTGGTCTGTAAAGTGGAGATAATTCTCGCCATGGGGAGGTGGCACGGGGAGTGTCTAGAGGGGCTGGCTGAGCGCCTGCTTAGCTGTGCAGTAACTGTTAGTGACATGAGCCTGGGTGAGCATTCCTCATGCATATCCCGGCCTCACGCAGGACACCGAGACCTCACGCCCTCAGTGCCTCATTTTCCGTGCTTCATTGTGTTGTTCATGTCAAACTGCCATAGTGTTGGGGGGGAGGCTTGGAAGCTACTTCCAAGTATAGCAGTCCCCCTTTATCTGTGGTCTCACTTGTCCGCAGTCAACCTCAGTCTGAAAATATAAAATGGAAAATTCTAGGAATAAAAGAGCAAGCTTAAAATTGTGGCCGTTCTGCATAGGGTGCTAGGAGCCTGTGCTGTCCGGCTCCATCCCTCCCGGACACGAATCAAGCCTTTGTCCCGCTTCTGCATGCTCCGTCTCTGCCCTTAGTTACCCCGTAGCCACCTGGGTTACCAGATTGGTTATTGGAGAGAGAGAGAGAGAGAGAGAGAGAGAGACCATATTTCAGGTACTTTTTAGTACAGAATATTGTTATAATTGTTCTGTTTTGTTATTAGTTACTGTGGTTAATCTTGTTGTGCCTAATTAAACTTTATCATAGACTTAATTTATGTATGTGTGAGAAAAAGCACAGTATTTCCAGGGTGGTTTCCGGTACCCACTTGGGTCCCGTGGGTAAGGGACGGCGGTGCAGAACTGGGAACGTTAGGTCATCTGTTCTAACCTGTTCATTTTACAGCCGTGGAAACAGAGGTCCAGAGGCGTGAAGCACAAACAGTTACCTGGTGACACCATTGGGACCAGAAACTGATTCCCTAGGACCTGCCCA